CGCCCTTTTCGCCACCATGACTCGCTCCAACTCCCCTGCGGGCGTGCACAAGTCCAGATGCACGTGGCCCTTTTTCTTTTTCGGGTTTCGAATCAGCCGCCCCCACCCCTCCCGGCCAGGATCAGCCTCGAGAGCCACCTCCCAGTCCCGGTCTTTGGGTCGATACGGGTATGCTGCCCCATCCTCTTCGCCCTTCCCGCTGTCGCCGTAGCGAAGCCGATGCAGCGCCTCCAACCGTGCGTCCCCCCATTTCCGTCCCTCCTTGTCTCCTTCCCCGTCCTCCCCCGTGCCGGGTAGCTTTTGTAGGATGGTGTAGGAGAAGGCCACGTCCTTGTATCCCGACCCCGGCTTGCCTATCCGCCGGTGCAGGCGTCCGATCGGGATCCGCTGGGAAAAACGGCACCATTCTTCCTTTGGCAAGGGGCAGGGACGGTCGTGCTGGCAAGGCCCCACCGTCCTAGCACGCGCCTGTGGCCCTATCGTTTCTGCTTGAGTGCCCGGATCGCCCCCCTCCAAGACCAATTTCCTGACCGAGCGCACGAGCCGAGATCCCTCCGGTGACCCGTCTTCCACCACGACCAGGAAGCCACCGTTCTCCGCCACCAGCTCCCACATGATGGAGGTGGCCAAGGCCCGGCTGGTGTCCGACGGGAGCTCCGACAGGGTCCACGAAGCAAACACCACGTCGAAGCGGAGCTGCGAACGCCCGGACTGGGCGACGAGGGGGGGGAGGTGCCGATGGAGGACAAGCCTGTCGCCCCGCCCGTCCTGGTCTTTCCCCCCCGTTTCGACCACGTGCTTGGTGAGATCCCGCATGGCTTGGCTGTGGTCCACGCCGTCCAACCGCGGGATGTCGGGCCAGAGGGTGTGTGCAGCAAGGAGAGCACTCCCCGGCCCGCACCCCACGTCCAAAAACGACCTGGGACGTGCCTCAGACGACGCGAAAAGGGGCGAACGAGCGGCAACGGCCACGTCGCGGAGCACGCGAAGATTGATCGAGAAGTTCAGCAAGGAGCGGGTGGACAGGTAGGCCAACGCCTCGGGGGGGGAAGCCACTCGCCCCGTCCACGCGGGCTTGCGGATGGTGTATCCCGGCTTTTCACTTTCGCCCTCGATCATTTGCCCCTCTTCCTCCGCAGCATGCCCTTCCATCATTGTCTTTTCCTCCTTAACATACTTGGGCCCATGACTCTTGTTTTTGGTGCCCTTGTCAATGCTTTCGCCCGACTCGCCCCCCGCATCCTCCTCTTCCTGTAGGCCCCCGTCTTTCAATTTTAAGGGCCTCCTACTTCTTTCCGTGGCCAATCCGCTTTCACGCTTGCTCCTATTGAGACGGCTGGCATGAAGACGAATTTGTCTGCCAGACAGCAGTCGTGAGACGTCGTTTATTCTGTCGAGACCTTCAACAGGGGGAGCGGCAAGCGCCCGCCTCCCGTGCATCCAAGCTGGATCGAGCAAGGCTTTCCCAAGCGCAGTCCGCTCCTCCCGCAAATCCGCCTCGCTTTCTTCATTGTCATTGTCAGCAGGTACGAGAGAGACATGCTTGAGGGCGGGTGTGGGGGAGGTGCTGGAAGAGTGTTGCTTTGTAGAGGGTAATACCAGGCAGCCAGGAGGTTGTACGAGTGGCGGACGAATGACAAAGTTAGGACGCGGCCGCTTGCGAATGAGCAATCGTCCCAACATTCGACTACCACCCCTGTACGAAAAAAATATGTGCGTGATGATATTTGTTTGCTACGCGTGGTATGTGAGAAAACATCGCATTGCGGCCGTCGCGTATCGCCCACTCGCCACTGCCTCCTTCCATCTGATCCATTGCCATCGAGACGTGCAAAGACAACTGCGAAAATCACGCCCGCCGCACGAGCAAAGTTGAACAACGAGTCGATCGTGCTGGAGGCAAATCAGAGCTGCCGCTGATTTTGTGAGGTTTAGGCGAGGTCTTTGGTGGTGTCGAACGTGCAAAGTCCCCGCTCCTTTTTTGGTCTCTGTAGACCTACATTGATAATGAGCTTTGTCAAAGAGCCACAGCTGCCTTTGGAGGTCCCAAACGTCTTGCCGACATGTCAAGCATGATTGGGGTATAGAGGGATATATCGCAGAGATTTCTCCTTATGCTCCAACTCGTTGCCAATATATCGTCAACAGGGATGCTCCAGTCTGCTGTCAGACACGTGACTGTAGCCAGAAATTCAATTGGATTTAGGAAGACTTGCTCGCTCCCTGCTCTGATACAGATACCACGTATCCTTTTTCATGCCACTGCGCGCGTCGCACATGGCAGTGGCAAAGATCTGAAAAATGCCCCGCGCATCAACTTGCACTGGATTGGAAAGAAAGGGGAGGAATTCACCACGGACGGCATTGTCGGAGAAAGTATCCTGGAGGCCGCACATCGGCATGAAGTGGAACTTGAAGGCGCGTGTGAAGGCGTGTGCGCCTGCTCTACCTGCCACGTGATATTGGAAGAACCCGTGTTTGAGTCGTTGGAGGACCCATCGGAGGAGGAGGAGGATATGCTCGACCAAGCTTTTGGCCTGACGCCCACATCTCGCCTGGGATGTCAAGTAGAACTGAGCCAAGACATGGATGGGTTAAAAATCAAGCTTCCATCAGCGACGCGGAACTTCTACATAGACGGCCATGTGCCCAAACCCCATTAGAAGGGGTCAACTTCTCTCAGAGCTCGAGGGAAATTTTGGTACGAACAAGGCGGGGAGCAAGTGTCAATATTGAATGTTTCTTGTTGTACGAGGCTCAAATGTGCTTAATCACTAAAGACAATTGTGCGTGGAAGCAGTACAATCGCAAATACAGAACTGCTTCCTTTTCTCTTCTTTATGTCAGCGCCTCTTTCCCCCCTAATTTTCTGTGCAAGTTTGAGCACAATGCTATCACACATGCATTTCCATGTAGTCAATGTACATAGCTACATCTTCTAGGTCACAAATTAGCTCCGCGCCCCATCCTCCTCGCAAAGTTTCTGTTTACCGCCCCCTTCCTCTCCTGGGTCTCCGCTCACGAAAGTTCGAAACCCGCCCCCGCCGTGATGGCGTAGAGCAATTTCTCTCTCAGCATCTCTGGCGTGGGGTAAGCAGGGAGCTTTAGAAGGTTCATACAAGTGGCGGAAGACGGCAGCCGCTCCCCCCCTTCCGTGGTCAGGGGCACACGCTGGATGCACACGGGCGGGTTCAGGTGTTGAAATCCAAGGAGCGGCTGGCGCGAGCATGAGGTCACGAACATGAGAAATGCTGCCTGTTCGTCCGGCGTATAGGACCGAAGCGCTTCCCAAAACCAGTGGATGATGGGCTGTGAAGGGTGGTAGCCCCCCGAGTAACGGGTGTGTGCGCGCAGGTTCTCTATGTCGATCGCCCGCTTTTCGCCCGTCAAGAGGATTTGCAGCTCTTCCGCGCCAAACATGCGGAGCCAGGGCATGGGAATGAGATCCCGAAAGCCTCGCAAAAATGCTTGGGCTTGGGTATTTATCTCCACGTTCAGTTTGTGGTTGGCGACCAGCTGAATGTACCGAAACACATTCTGGTTGGTCACTGGTACGTGTTTCCCGCCCGGCACTAACTCAACCGCCGCAGCCTCCTGTGGCAAAAGCTTCTCGTCGTCCTCTACCACGACCTCAAAGTTCAGTGACAAATCCCGCACACCCGCGCCGACCCCCTCTCCTTCCCGTGCCAGCCTTTTCAAGGACATCAAATGCCGGTACAGCTCGGGGTCGCGGCTGAACAAGTCGTCCGTCTCGTTCAGCTTCCCTCCCAGCCGCTGCAGGAAAAATATGGCGAACTGTGGCTCCACCAAGATGGATTCGTACAAGGCTTTCGCCAAGACTTTACCCAGAAAGGCAAAATGTTGCAAATGATCCGGTCCGACTGCCAGTCCCGAGAGAGGATTGGGGTAGAGCAAATGGTCAGGGGTGACGCGGAAGAGAGCATACTGAGGGTCAAAGGCGCGTTTGGTCAAGGCGTCCATGAACTCCTTAAAGACTCCCCCGCCGTCGATCCCAGCCTCTTCCGTCCCCAAATCAGAGACAAAAGTGACCTGCACACGGCCCCGGAGACCATGCCCAAGATGGTTCAAGGCTTTGAAGGCGTCCTCGTAAATGTGGGCGCGGCGAATCCGGATCCGGTGCCCGAACAGTTGAGCTTCGTCCTGTGCCTGTCGCTTGTCCGCCGCCAACAACTTGTGAAAGACTTGCACGCGCTGAGCAAAGGGGAGGACTTGGGGTATCCGCGTCAAGACAGGGTAGAGGCGTTTGGAGGTGTCGAAGAGGGTTTCGATCGACGAGGCTCCGGTTGAATTTTCCACGTGGGCGTGGCTTTGTGGATAAGGAAGTTGAGGTGGCTGCTCGGCGACGCTTTCCCCGGCGGAAAGCTCTTGGTCGAGCTCATGCTGGGTAATAGCAGGCCAGTGCCAAAGGGCAGGGTCTGATTCGCCCTGTGCAGTGAGACCGGCCCTGCTCCTGTGGTAGCCCCGGACGGTCGTGCTGGTATCGACCTCCATGGCATCCCTATCGCCCACGCCTCGCTCAGCTTCTGCGGCAATAGCGGGAGGAAACGGCCGGCGGCTGTGTCGCTGGTACAATTGATTGAAAAGCTCAGTCGCCACCCGCGTGAGCTGCAGGGCCTCCAAGGGCGGGAGCAGGGAAGAGGAAGATGCCAAGAGCAAGCGGTTGGGGTCGACCCAGTACATCTGATAAAGGAGGCCTTTCAATGCATCTACCAGAACAAGGACTTGCGAAAGGGAAAGAGGAGTCTGACGCAGGTAAAACTCCTCGTCGTCGAGCGCCATGAGTTGATGCGAATACACGGAGAAGAGGAGGTGGAAAGCGGGGTAGTAGTCAGGGAGCAATCCTTCCTCGTTGCCCGCAGCGAACGCCTTCCGCCCCCCCCC